TTTTTTTTGTGTTTTTCTCCTCCAGCTATCTAGCTGGCAATTTTTTAAGCTGTTTTGACCAACGTAATCTTTTTTTTTTGAGATAATCGGTATTTTTAAGAATTTTTTATCAATGAAATTTTTTTAGAGCTCGGAAGAACTGAGGTTGAAAGCTGTGAAAACATGTGCACTGTTACATGATTATATGAAACGGCGATGCTATTATTTGCACATTGAAAATACATTTGAAGTAGCTTTTTTGTAAAAAATTTGCTTTTATTCGTCCCAGTTTTATTGAGCAGTCTATCACTGCTGCTTGTTCGGTGTTACAGGATGCAGCGGCTGATGTCAGCCTTTTAGACATTTTTATTATCTGTGCGTTTTTGTAATTCTATTTGACAGATTCATCTAACAAGGCATGTGTATGACCCATACGTCAAAAAAAGAAATTAGCACAATTCCGGGTTAATGCCCTAATCTGCAAGTGCTTCTGACGAAGTGACCGAAAAGCGAGACCTCCAATAGCGCTAAAAAAGCCCATCGCAGAATGGGAAAACCATCCTACATGGACACAGCCAGTGATGATGCTGCAAGTGGACAGCCTACAATTTGCTAGGTTTACATAATTGATGGTATTGTTTACTTCAGGTACTGGATGGTCTGAAAGAGTTTGGGTGTGAAAATAATGATGATATAATCCTGAAATGCGCATATGTAACAACTAAACGATGTAAGCATCAAAAATTTCGTTTTAAAGCAAAATCTATAGGTTTTTTTGTGTAGTTTGGGGTTATATCGAACTTATTCTTTATATTGCACGAAGGAAAGGAAAGGAAGGTCGAAGAAAGATAACATCTTTTTTCCTTTCAAAATTTCTTAGCTGTTTTTTGCTTTTGCTTTTTTTTCTAAAAATGCACTTCTTGTTTGGTTTAGATGCGGCGTGTAGAAACAAGGAGCCTTGCTTAGAATACGACTTTAGTCTACTGCTCACGTCGCGCATAGGTTCGAATAAGTAATAACACGCAGTGTTCAACTTATTTTTACGAAAAGACCTCTTTTTTGAAAAGATACTAGCGAAAAGGTTTCTGTATCATTCGAATCATAAGTTATTAGCCACTACACTACCTGACGTTTTGTCAGTCACATACAGTATGTAGCAGCAAATATTCTTCCGTGTTTTTTGTGGCTTTTAGCAGATATTTACCTCAGTTGACCTCGATTTCTAGAATCGGGTTTACCACCGTTTATTTGTGTTTAGTTCTATTATCTACGTTTTGTTACTGTTCAGTACATCAAAACATTTGCAGGTGAGAATGAAGCAGTGACAGCGGTGTTTGCTACAAACGACAAAATTCTTGCTGTAAAAGCAGCTGCACATAATATTGCAGTTGCTGATCGAGATGTAAGCTTCACTGTAAATGTCCTAATTTAAAACGTTATGACATAGTGAACTAATCTGAGGTTGCTGTTGTGAAATCAGTTTTTTTTTTATTGCTTTCGCTTCTTTGTTTCAGGAACTTTTGCATCTTCTAACGATGGGAAGTGAATTTCTTGCGGTGGCAAGGAAACAGCAGCAAAGTAGCAACCAGGAATTGCCGTCTTTTGAGTTCTCACTGCCAGAATGCAGCAGTAGCAGTAGGAGGAGAGAAATGTCACCGTCGGAGTTTTCATTTACTTTTCCCTCGGAACCTTCCACATCCTCAACAACCACAACAGCAGCAGCAGCA